GTTATGTTTTTCATTTATCGTCACTCATTTTTCTTTCTCGTTCAGTTGTTGGGGGTAGCGCCGTTCATTTTTTTTCACAACATGACAGTCAGCAGTATAGGCTATGGTGAAGCATATGCTATCGATTTCACTCAGCGCTAGGTAGTGTTTATAGTCGGTGATCGTGCGGTAGCTTGAATCGCCGACTGTGAACGATGGTACAGCAACGATGGTACTGGATGGTTCAGCGGTACAGCAACGATGGTACTGGATGGTACAGCAAGCGATATTAAGCACTAGCAGGAACGCCAAATTCCCTCTAATACATTCTACTGCGGCGAGTAGCTGTATGTAGTTTAGCACTTCCACGACGCTGTGGACCAAGGGGCTTCTTAGTTGGGGATTTTGATCGAGTCCGTACGACCCTCCCCCCCCCCTAATAGGTGGTTTGACACGACCCCGCTAGTTTCCTTCTTGCCTCCTCATCGAGCTGTCGAGCGGGGCGGGGAGGAGACAGGAGGAACCACGAGAAATCAACAACCTCTCTCAGAAAGGTTAGAAGGCAAGAACGACCCCCTCCCGCCGCCCCAGCGACCAAATACGCCCCCTGTAGAGGAATCCCCAACCAGGGTACAGCATCGTGATGTGTGAAATGGTGGTCTAGGTTCGACTCCCTCCCTCCAAGGAGGGTGTCAGTACGACCCCCGCTCACCTGAATGAGGGTCTCGTACGACCCCCCCCTTCTGCCAGCCACCTACCTACCAATTTCCCCACGTTCCCTTTTTTACCAAAATTTCCGTCCATCGAAGGGGGGGGGGTGTTATTACACATGAAAAGTAAAAAGCACGCGAGAATTCGACCGGGAGGAATTTTTTTAACGCGGCGAATTCTCCAAAGTCACGCCCCCCTCCCCTCAAGACCATGTACGACCCGCCCCCTCTTATGTGTTTCACACAACGATGTGTACCATGCCCAGAATAAAGGTGGAACCGTTGACTTAAAACTGTCCTCCGCAGGTGAAGGACGCTGCATCCATGGAACACCAACGATGCTTTGCAAGTGACGTCACGTGCAAGTCCTCCGCCCCAGGGCCTAATCGGTTCAACCTTCGGCGTGCTACGACATCTCTCTTTCAACTATCTAGATATTTTAATTGATTTGGGCGCATTACCGAAACTGAACGCCCTTTACCACTACATATCCCTGGCAAATTACAACGGGGGTCAACACCACAATTGATTTGTCACGCCGTCGCGCACGGCGTACCATGCGGCAATCAGCTGCAGGATATCGATGTGGCACAGTTTTCCGATTTTAGCAGCGAAACTCATTTATATTTAAGCGCAGTTAAGACTCAGTTAAGACGGGCGAGATGAATTTTTTTCTGTGCCTTTGATACTCAAATTCAAATGGCCATTGAGGCAGGACAACTCGTCTGCCAAGCGCAGCTCACTTGCTACGCCCACCAGCGCGGCATACAACGGTTTCCTTGACACAGCTCCAACCACCATCGAGATATAGCTGAGTAGTAGTAACATTACTGCCTACTTTCATATTCTTCCGCTGCAACGGTGATCTTTTCGGAAACCAACATCTTCCAAATTATGAATAACATTTATACATGCAATTAGTGAACGCAACAAATAACCAGTAGTTAGAGATCGTCTCTCCTTCAGTGTGATGATAACTATGAGGAATTCTAAGAATGAGAAAATATCACAACGTGGGGAAGCCCTTGTAGTGCACATTTCATACACAATTTTCTAAAAGGTTGTCCTAGATTTGCTGCAGTCCTTGTGGGGATAGGAGCAGTCTTTATCTATAAAGTCAGTCGGCGTGCCAGCGGGTAGTGGTTTCTAGCGCGAGGCCAGTCCTTTTCCAAAACTCAGTGAGCGCTTGAAGGCGCAATGGTCGATGGAAAGCGAGCTGCCACCGCGCCAAAACCTACGCCCCATACGACTTCTGTGATAACGACTGTACCCCTCACGGTCCTCAAAGGGTTGAGTAAACCATAATGAAAATAAAAAACAGAACATACGTCGTATATTATCTAAAATCATAAGTGGTTCAACTCCATCCACAAATACAAACTATTATTAATAAAAAGTGGAATAAAAATGGAACAAGATTTGGCATACTGTAAAACATAACTTCTTTGTTGAATAATCTTTCAACTACCCATACAACTTATTGCTATGAAGGTGAGCGTCTAAATATCTATGAGGTGGCAGTTACGACACATCAAGTAGCGGATGTCTTCGGAAACTTTCTGTCAGCACCAGCTCTCAGGAATGTCAGGATCGAATTATCCGAACTTAACCATGGCTTAAAAAAAACATCAGCAATTGGAGACACGTAACGTTACGATCAGTTGTACGAAAATAAAGATGATTTATTGAATAAACACACGACAGATATCACAAAGTGCTAATTATAGGCCAAAAAGTCAGACCCAAAGCCAAACTCAACCCGCATCCCCCTGATCGACCCGTCCGCTCAGGATCTCGAGTCTGCCACAACACCAGCGCTCGATATCTTTGGAGGCACACTCGGCGTAAACAGCAGTTATCGATTCAAACAATGTGAAAAAAAACCAAGAGGTATTCCCTCACGAGCGAACACGCAGGGTCTCAGGAAATGCCTCAGCAGCAGTAAAACTGATAGCAAAAGCCACGCCCTAGATGATCCTTGCTACGACAAATTTTCCCCAATTCTCCTGTGTCACAACAGAAAATCAATTATCACAAGACTGCAGCGTTATTTGTGTAACTCTCAGCTTCAGCATGAAATCAGGGCCTTACTACAAAAGCAAGGGCATTTGCGTCCTGCCTAGAAGTTTGCCCAAATTGGTGGCAAGACGGTCGAAACAAACCTTACACTCACCTCGAGAACGTCGCCATTATAATGAGTGGGTCCAAGCCACAGTAAGAGTTGCCTGCTCTCCGCCTAAAAGTGCAGCGGAGCTGGAGGGTAGTGACACTCGTGCGCCATCTCCATACTCCGCCCGCGCTACACTCACTGTGCAGCACTTGCGTCGATACCAAGTCGCAGCGAAAACGCATTCAGCGTTCGAGAATAAGCGAAGTAAGAGGATGCAGATAAGTAGCGCGTTTAGATGTGATTAGGCGGTGGCTGGCGTGCGGCAACGCGGGCGATGCATGAAGGCGGCACCCGGTATCACTACCATCCTGCCTCATCCCTAGGCACTTCTGACCAGAGTGGCCACTAGCAAGCTACGGACCCATTCACCTCGCACATGACAGGATCGACGAAGTTGAGAGAACAGTTTGTCTTCGAAAGAAAATCGGGCATCATAACAATACAATACAGGTAAAAAAATTGAATGCTTCTGTTTGACGCACCTCTACGATTGTACGCTTCAGCCGAGCCACTTCAGCATCGCGTTCAGCTAGCTGACGACGCAACTCTTTTATCTCAACGGTGAGATCCAAATCGTGTACCAAACTTTGGAGGCTTGGGCGTGGCGAAGTTTCTTAAAAAAATGCTAAGGTCCCAGCTCACTGATTTAACTTTCTCATGTTACTGCTTACACTTAATTAAGTGAGTTCAGGGCCACATACTCACCATTGGACGTCAAATAACTGTCCAGTGAAGGCATTGTATCGGTCGAGATATTCTGCTCCACATTATTTCCATCGGGCGACACAGAAACAGAAGTTCCCGATAAAGATGCCAGCGGTGAATCTTCACTGCTTCTGCAATTGAGAGAGGGCAAAGTGTTTCATTGCAGAGGCATTCAAAGTTCGCGTCACTTTTGAGTTGAGAAAATCCGCTACGAGGATTTGACTCGGACCCATATAGAAGTTCGAATATTGCGGGATCGCTTGGATCGCGCGATCACCGGTGTACCGAACTATGAACGCTTTTTCAAGACTCGTCTCGAAAAAACGCAATTCAACAAGACATTATAACTAAATAAAACATCTACAGAGTTGTATTTGTAGAAAGTGACTCACTTCCCAAGCCTCATGCGGCGTCGACGTTTGCAGTTGGAGAACAATTTCTTCGTCTGTTCAACACCTAGTGGACTGAGCAAGCCGACGTATTTCTCGTTAGTGAGATGTGCAACTTTCACCCACATGTTGTGCCTTTCAGCATTTACCTGCGCTGACCTGAAAGACGAGAGAATTTCTATCGTCGCCTTGCCAGAGTTACAAAAGGCGCACTACCGCGACACACGGCTGGTAAAAACTGGAAGTTAGCTCAGCTCCATTCGTTTTCCGGTTAACTAATGAGAAGCGTGGAGATCAGAGCAAGTACAGAGGGAAAATCCTGCGCTTAGCGTAATCAATGCCCCAATTTTACTATTGCAGATAATCGAAGGTGTTTGTAAAACATCTAAAACGCAGCTCGGCAGAATTCCGTAGGCAGGTAGGTAGAGAAAGAGGAACGTGGAGAGAGCCTCTTTTCAGCAGTCGTGACACCGCCATATCGCTCATACTGGTGATTAGTCCTTAGTTCGGTGATGATGAAGGGGCGTGTCAGCCAGCATGAGCGTGCCGAACCCGTTCTCTGCCAGTCGTTGAAGCATGTATGCGACAACAATTGGTAGGAAACGAATGATACGAACGACAGGATACAGTCTGTCACTTTCTCGCTTCAACAACTGGTGGGAGCAGGTTTGGCACCACTGAAACTAATACCACTTGACACGCCCCTTCGTCTGTAACGATCTGAACTATACCCCATGCAGGTTGAGGAGCTTTGTTCTCGTAAGGGACAATCCCGGAGAAATCTTTAATTTACGCAAGTCAGCTAAGGATGGGGAGCAGGGACTTCGAAGACTTTTGGTATAAAAATGAGAGCTCGAGGACTTCCCCATATTTTTCCTAAGCTTAAAACTAACCCCAAGTGAACTCCGGGTATTTTAGCCACTTTCTCCGCGCAGATGTAAGGTTTCTCATCATGGTAATCCCAGTTTAGCACAAAGTGTATCTTTGCTGCCTCGTTGAGTTTCTCAGTTGGCTGGTGCGCGTAAAATTCGCAGTTCTAGCGTATTCGCATTCTCACCGTCACAAGCGTATTCTCACGAAAAAAAAGCAAATTATTGATCCAAGTTTTACCTTGAAGAGCTATCAAAACACATTCTCTCCATATAGTGTTCAGCCAGTGACACAACAAAGTCATGACGCTCCTTCTTCAGCTGGTAAGTGGTGTCACAGAAAAGCGGCGATGGAGGGGCATCTGGTTCGTCAGTTTTGACAGTCGATAAATCATAAGGGGATGAGCACAGCGATCTGAAAAACCAACATTACCACTCATTTACTATATTATTCGAACCGCAAGATCACTTACGCGATGAAGTTCTGCAACTGTTGGTCAGCATCAGTGGTAGAGTTCACTACAGAACCAGTTGTGACATTTTCACTTTCTAGTCCACCATGTTCACTCATAACCGATTCACATCTTGATGGTGAACCCAAACTATCCAACTCGCCTTCAGCTGGAGGATCATCAGATGGAACTTGATTGGCAATCTTACTGAAAGTGGTGAAATGATACTAAAAATTGAAAAAATATAAATTTACTCTGAATCACTGGACGCGGAAACACAATCACAACAAGAGGAATCTATAAGTATTGGCTAGAAAAGATGGATGCCTCACATATTGTCATAACTGCCGTCGTCTTTCTTCTTGTAATACGTGAGAAGTTTCTTCACCTTCTCAACCGACAAGACCTCTAATCGAGTTCCAAAAGCATCGTTTACCTAGAAAGCGAGTTCTGTATACTTTCCGCACTGAAGACTAGCAATTTTGTTTTTTGTGTCTTGGGTAGAACAAACACGGAAATGCATTTGCTCTGGCACGAATACGTTTGAATCGATTTCACTAACACAGGTAGATAAATCGTTGAACATAGTTCAATGGCTCATTTTACGCTTACAAGTCACCGGGGGCCAAATACCAGTGTCGCACAGCTTGGTAACTTGCCAATGAGGACAAAGGCAAAACTGACCTGTGAAAATGCCTCAAATAAGAACCGTTTGATCCCGTGCACCAAAAAAGGATTTGGACGAGTTATCACTTGCTGATACAACACGATCTTTTTGATCTCTTCCCACACACGTTACTTTTACCATGAGAACCTCATCACTTGCTACCTTAATCTTCAAGGCCAACGCCTAGACTGGGAAATGAAACAGTCGGCGGCCGTTAGGAGCTTGTGCGCTGCGCCTAACAACGCCCGTCCCACGCCAACTCTTGCCCCAACAGCCGCAATTATCTCTTTTCTATCAACTGATTTCAACATGATTTCAACTTATGAGCAGGCTCTTTGTAGAACTAAGTGACCGCAGACGATGTCTTCGAAATAGCTTTTCAATTACTAATCTCGCACCAAAGATCTCACACCTGCTGGGTAATGCGTTCCCACATCTGTGCGCGTTCCAGATTCTTCTCCGCTTTTCTAGCAGTTGCTGAGCCCTGAAAGAAATCAAACTTCTTTCCAACTCTAGTCTCAGCTTACATCAATCAACATGTACAAATAACGTTGTGAAATCCCAGTAGCATTCCTAAACTTCATGCAAGAAGTTAAAACAGTGCAACTAAGCTCTTGAAGTTTGAACCACTAACGAAACGAGAGGACCTTTCCAGTAGTTTTCCCCCCCGAGGTCTCTTTTTCGAAAACTCTCGGCAAGATAGTGAAACTACAACAGAACGAAGTGAAACTTCAATCCTGAGGCTTAGTTTCTTCCTGGTGGTTCAAAGTCGATTTAGTAGTGCGAGTGTTTCAAGATGATTCTACAGCACCAAATGACAGAGACCGTGAAGCTCTCATTATCTGCGATGTCTGCAGCGCACTGAAACGCGAGCTCGGACACACGCTTTGCTCACAGGCGTTCATACTTGGCGATATGATCGCGCGAGCATACGATCACTTGGATTGCGAAGTATGAACGCGCTTTTATTGCTGCCCGCAAGTATCCCCACATGCTGTCGCAAAATATAAGGTCTTTCACTGTCACTGATGGAAAGGAGAAAGTAATCTGGAGGACTTGTTGGAAGTAAAATCAACATCAAGGTTAATGAAAACATTGTGAACTGCATTATTACACTTACTAATAACTGGTCCAGTAACAGCTTAGATATCGCCATCTTGATGCAGTATTGTGAAAAATTTACTTATAAGCTCGACAATATTACGCAATAGTAGGTTGAACGGGTACAGATTTATGTAGGACGCCTAGGAAGATGAGATGAATAACGCCTTTTGAGCTGCACGCGCAGCAATGGCGGGTCAGCACTATCATCCTGTAAGTGTTTATCTAACCGTATTTGCTATTCAATCTAATCATACTGGACCTTATCAAGTAGGTCTGTGGGAAACACCCATTTAAGGTCAAGAACCCACTACGTAATACTATAGAAATTTAGCGTGAAAGACATTTAAAACAATTCAGGCTCAAAGCGTGGAGCTGTCTGAACTCCGAACTGCAGCACTAGAAGTGATTCACAGAACTGTAATTACTGCGATGTTTGTCACAGGAAGGTAACCCTTCCTGATTTCTGAGCAGTTGCATGGCGGACTCTCTTTGTTAATAATCGACTTCGCTTTTGTTAGGGTTCTGCCTGCGAAGCACCCGCGCAGACTGAGGAGAATCATTCTTCTATGTTCTAATTTGTGGACAGAGTATCGATATAATAAAGTGTGAACTGAAATAGGAGTAGTGGTTTCATGAAGAATTGAATAGAGCCCGTCCTGGAAGTCTATCCCGTTGCCTCTCCGCATTCTCATATGTCATTTTCTTTCGCCTTTTAACAAAACACGCATATCTAGTAATATTTCATTTTAGACTGGTGAAAGTTTCAGTACTTCTTACAAACTGACTAGTCACTGGCGCAACTCGGCTGGCAATAAAGAAAACGCTTCCAAACTTTCGTTTCAGTGCACTCTCAGAAGAATTTGCTCGCTGCAGAATAATTAAAGGGTCACTATGTTGAAACTGTTTGTTAGGAGACGCTCACCATTCGACAACAAATGCGCGAAAAGTCAACGGAAGTTTCTGAAAACTTACAGCAAGAGAGGGATGTTCCTTGAACAGCCTCACCAACATTTCTCCTCGCTCTCTACGAAGTTCCTTTTCGCCATGACCGAGTGTATGCGTTCTAGAACAAAAACACAATCTTTAGGAGAACACTAGCCCACTTCTTAGGTAAACGAATCAACAGCCAGAAAGATGCGAGATTGAACAAGGGCAATAAAGAGATATTCACCAAGCGCCAAAAGTTAGGATCAAATTTGCTTTGCAGACCTTAAGACGGGCTCACGGCCCGAAACGCTTCGGTTGTGTAAAACAAGCAGACATAAAATTTGTTTTAAAAAGCAGCAACAGCTGTATATGCAAACAAAAACCAAAACGAGCTCTCAGCATTGGCAAAAAACACTTCCGGCATTCCAATTCAATGTTCGTTCTCAATTTACATTACATCAAAACGACAAGGTTCTGTGTGATGGCTCAAAGTGCTTGAAGGGGCAAGAGAGGCAGAGTCCAAACAAAATCCAGTAATTTGAAACATACTGTTGAGAAAGGCAAACTCGTGACAAAAGTAGTATAAATATGGACTGACCTCGACGCGCGTTTTCCCTTTTATTCACCGCAAGTTGACATCACCCAGTCCAATTCCCAAGCAACGTAGCCGTGCCAGAGCAAAGTCGCGATCATTCCTGTAAAATCCATGATAATGAAACATGAACGAAATTGAAAAAACTCAAACAAGCGTCGAATAACTTTCATAATTGACAGCTTATAGCAAAGAGCTGAGGTGTTGCGGCCTGTTGACTGCTTTCTCAACAAGGCCATTCACTTCACATGCTCCAGTTAGGGGAACTCCATACTTTGGAGTTTTGGACGAGTTTCTCCTCTGAATGGCGGTTTGAATGACATTTTATGGCACTAGGTAGGGTTCAGAATGGGTAGAGAATAGGCTGGCGCCGCGCCAAACCCAGCCTCCTGACACGCCCCCACGCCCGCGGCGAACAAAACGTACATCCGATCGACAGGTTCGTCAAACTGGACATCGTTTAGACACAATCAAACCAATCAAAATTCGTAATGTCGCGAATTACGCAACTATCTTGAACCGTGAGTGTGAACCCGGCCTAGCAGCGTTTATCCCACGGCGGTATCTTGCCACAATTTTGATCCAGTAGCCTGCCCCCCATAATCTGACCACTTCTAGCTACCTTTCAGCCACTGCCAGGAGAAACACCAGTGCGTGTACGGATATGTGACAGGAGTTACCGCCGCGCTGGAACCTAGGTCACCGCGTGCTCGACGAAATACCATGCTCGACGTGCTAGCATATGCTCAACATGGTGCTTGCCCTACTGAGTTTAGATGCTTCTTGTATGTTTTCAACCTTCCGAAATTTGTTTCGTTAATAAATGGAAGTTTTTTTTAATTTTCATAAAACCGCGGGAGCAGAAAGAGAGTGCATGTAGTTTGATCCAGGTACCGAAACGCGTCCTCCAGAATTCTTAATCACAAGTTTTTTCCCCGACTGATCTATGGGAAATGCCTCGGATGAGAAGTAGTTCACTGCGGATGAAGGCGCGTGTGTCGCAGTATGAGTCTAGACGGCGCCAAACCCGTTCCGTGCCAGTTGTTGAAGCGGGTATGCAACCATGATTGGTGAAAAAAGAGTGATAAGAACGATATGATACATTTTTGTCAGCAACTCGTGGAAAACGGATTTGGCACCGCGCCAAACTCATCCCGCCTGACACGCCCCTTCGTCCGTAGCGAACTGGAGCATAGGATCACCACCGGCAACATTCACA